GTTTTGACGAAAGGAAAACTTTAATTAACATTTGCATCATTGACCATGCCTTTAAAATGCATATTTATTACTTTGTTTTCATATCTCYGGAAGAATTTGTTGCCTCCTTAAGCCCCGAAATGATTTGTATCATCTTAAATGTGATCCATTTTATTTTCTGGATAGCGTAAAACAGAGAAGTAGTACTTTTAAAGTTTGCAGTTCCTCCTTAAAGGCAGTCACCTGGCAAAGTGGGAACAAGAACAGGACATTCATCCACTTCCACAGAGCCACCCAGATGATGTCAGTAACAGATGACTGCTAGACACTCCCCTCTCCATCGCCTCGCAGCCAGCTTTGGTCACAGAGGGCAGGAGGGAGACGGGGTGGGTGCAGGGGAGATAATTATCAGTATAAATGAAGCCCTGCGAACGATTCGCACTGCTGGGTCCCCTGATCTAGTCTCCAAGGCAACCTCAACACGCTCATTTGTTTTGTAGATGAGTAATTACATCCAATTAGTGACCAGTGAGGAAAAAAAAAACGCGTCCAAGAAAGGCCCATTGTTCCGGATAGATTGTGTGAATATTAATAGTGGGATGGTCTGAGGCGCAGTGATATGATCGGTGATACTAATGCAGCTGTGGGCACACTCTGCCCAGTCTCATGCTGCATAACTGATCAGATACCCACTGATGAAAATATATGGCTTTGAAAATGTGTGTGCCTACATGTTTGTGTCTGAGTTTTTCTTGTTTTTTTTTCTAACTCTGTGGCGAATCAAGCCAGTTTCTTACCTGAGCCTCCCACACGTGCAGACAATGGAACAGCACGCAAGCTGCCAGTTTCTCACTTTTTATTATTTGCTCAAATGTCATATAAAGTCAGGAAACATTTCCTGATGTGACATCTGTGAGAAAAWTTTTTTTTCGTTGTACAGTGTAGTGGTGCTGTGCATTTCTGTAGCGTATGCCGCCACCCACCAACACCGGCCCGATATGTGTTAGCTGTCAGAGTATTAGAAATGTGTAGGCTTGGTCTGCATTGTGCTTTGTAGCTGGTCATTGCTCTGAAGAATGGTTTGCAGGGACGGGGTTTCAGCAGAAGCATTTTAGAGGTGCTGATTTCCAATCCAGGTTTTTGTTTTGTGTGGTTGGTTTTTAATGTCAGAAGTTGTGTTGAGCTCTTCCCTGTCCACATGTATCCATTAATATGTAAATAAGTATTTACATTATTATAAATATGCATGTGTGATTTGTTGTATTCTGATTGTTTTATTGATTCCTTTTCAGTCAGTTTGCATTCCTTTTATTTCCCTTTGTATTTTTTTTCCTCATTAAGTTTTCTTTTTCATATCTAACAGAGAATTTATTGATCATGTTTCAATAATCTTTTTGAAAAGGGCAAATTCCTCCTTATTTATATTCAGTTTTGCTTCTGGGTGGTGTTTTGTTAATCAATATTTGCAGCTTTAGGGGAAAAATTGGCTTTAAAATAACACCTTTTGCCCATTTTAGCTACATCAGATCAAAACAGTTTTTCTTCTGCAGCAAATAATATTTCTGTTATACTAATAACCTCAATTCCTACAAATAAGACACATTATCTTCTCACATTAGCCCTCCTATGCTGACAACATAATGACTTTGTTACATGTTTTGTGTGTAATTAAATGTATGGATACCATTTTTAATAAAATTTTGAGCAAAACATCTAAAAAGTTATCAAAATGGTGAAATGTTGCTGGCTGCCTTATGATGTAATCCTTATTATTTTGACAGAAATTATATTTTCCTTTAGCGTTTTTAGCTCTTTTTACTTATCATCTGCCAAACTCACAATTTCCACAATGATAATCATGAGTGGTACGACATGTTTTCTGAAAAGATGCAACAATAACTGGAGGAAGAGAGAAACGTTTTTAAATCAGGGGTGTTTTGAGCTTTGCTCTTCTTTCCCATTTATGTTCTTCTTATCTCAAAGGTTTTACAGCAGAGTAAGCAAAAATACATGAATAAATAATGTGTTGAATTGCAGTTTGGTAATTAGAGTAAAAGTACTGCCTGTTTAGTTATAATAGTCATAATCAAATTCACATTTGCCACAGTGGGACAAATAAAATTTAAAGCTTTATAAGCTGTAAAATAAAACATTCTATCAAAATTGGCTGGTAAAAAGTTTACTAGCAGACCAACACAGTTCTCCTGAGAAGTTGCTGTCATGAAACAACAAATAGTTGTGGAGCTGAGAACAGGCAAGTTTGATTTATTATGGTTTATTCCCATCCTGTAATCTAGCAAACCAACACCTGGGCTATGTTACTTTGTTAATGCCAAAAGGAATAAAACCTGAGGCAAAACATTATATAATATAATACAGATTATATTTACAACAATTTAAAAATCACCAAGATTAAGTGCTTTTATTTTGACATTTAAAGGGCAAATCTCATGTTGAGAGCAAGTGCAAACAAATCAAACCATACAGTAAAATAATGTAAAAAAAACATAATAAAGTCATAAAATTTGACCAAGATTTAAGGTGAAAGAAAAATTTTTGGTTATCATTACCTAATGTGTACTGTAATAATATAGTACAGTAATAATTATATACAATAAATAAGAATTTATGTCCTGATGCTTACATTTTAGCCCTGCTGCAACAACTACAGTACATGACAAGACTTTGCAGAATAATTTGAATATCAACATAGATGATGTCATGTTTTGTTTTGTTTTTAATTTTATTTCGTCTTTCAAGTAACTAAGAACCAGTAGATGTTGCATAGCTGCTGGATGGTCCCAAATTTTATTCAGTTTTCTTCACTGTGACTTAGTTTGCCAACAAAGTGAATGCCAAACTGCAGAAATTGTCCTAAAAGGAAATATTAGCAGGGCAGTATAAGGTCTGAAAGCCAATCAGAGAGGCATTAAAGTCAATAATATGTTCCTGCAGCCATGTTTCAGTGGAACTATCTTTCATAGTCTTTGTTGTGTCTCCAGAATCATCAACTTTAGGAGTCAGTGGGCTACAGATTTGTTTGACAATGAAGGAAAGAAGTGACTTCCTCTTTACTCATCATTTGCTTCATCTCCTTATTGGCTGGAATTTAGAGTCTTACGGCCTTTTTGCACTTCAAGGCCCAGCTGAGGTTTAAAACCGGGTTCAGCATGTTTGCATTAGCCTTTATGGACCAGTTCTAGCCCGATTTCTAGAATCCTGAGACCTATGGTTCTATTTGGGCCGGGCCGGCTACTGTTGCCCATAGTTTGGTTCAATGGCAGGGGGTCRTGTCACACTTCAGATTAATTTTACATGAGTCGTTTGCAGCAACAATAGTCTTGTCTCACAGGAGATAAACTATACAACAACTGGAGCAAGCTACCAAAAACAACAATCTAACATTAGCTACCATTAGCTTACCGTTCTCTATCAACTTGCCTTCTCATTTTCAGCATCATACTGCTTGATGGTCCTGTGTAACCTTAGGTACTTACAATGCAAATATGACATTTATCGATTTATTGGACACATCAAAGCTCTTAGAGCAGAGTAAGCAAAAATATATGAGGAATAAATAAGTTGTAGTTGTCTTTTTATATGGGTGATATAAATGGAACGACGTCCTTATGAATTCCTGATAACACGGTTTGCGCCATTGTCACATGTTTCTTCCCCATTGTAATTATTCCATTGATCCAGATTTACTCATTAGCAAGGCCAATCAATTTCCAGTGACATTTGTCTAAGTGAAGTAAATGGAATGATTGCTTCTTGAGCTTTGTTCAATGTGTCAGGCATTATGTGACGTACGTGGGAAGCCTGCCCTATTTGGAGCCTATAATTTGATGAGTGGGCAGACAGCCCACAAGTGGTGAGATCAGAGTGCTAAAAAGCATCGGCGGGGAGAAACATGGCTGGTGCTTACATTCCATTTGGCAGAAGTGGACTGTCTCACTCTGAATGGGTATAGGTGAAGTGGTTTTGAATGGCTATTCGCTCCAGGACACCAAATTAAAAAATAACTTGAAAAAAAAAGCGTGCACACAAACAAACAGCAGGGGAAACCCAGCATGGAAAAGCTGGTATCACCAGTCTCAGTCCCACAGAGTAGATTAACTCCATTATCAAAGAGGTGTGAGGAAGGAGCAGTTTTTTTAATTGCACTCTTTATATGAGCAGCTTGTCTCAGATTAAGCGAACAAGCAATAAATGTCAGAACAACTTATTGTGGAAAGGCATTTTCTAAACTGTTGATAATCCACCATCTGTGTCAAAGAAAGAAGCATTCAAAGAGGCCAATTTGAGCCACGCTCAGAGTACTTAGAGCCCTTCAGAATACTTATCAATAAACAGAAATGTCTCTGGATCTCGTTCACGTGAATACCTTATCAGTTTTTATTGGTCTGAAAGGAGGCTGAAGATTATTGATTAGAGCAATGTGTTTTCCTTCTTTCAGGTACGTCACCATGAATTACCATTTGAATCAGAAATATATTGACTTGTTTTTTTTTCTTTCAATGATCCTTCAGTTTTATTTCTCTCCTTTATCAATGCTTTAAAACAGGCCAATTAAGTGAAAGCCAAAAATATCAAATTTGTGTGTGTTATGTGTTTTTAATGTTATTGGTCAAGCTGAATCAAGTCAAGGGAAAACAGGTTTTTTACTAAAATTACATCATTATTCTGCAGAGGGTTTTTGTACCCTTTTATTGTGGAGCTAATATACCCAACACAGATGAATGTCTCAAACAATGTCCATCTGCTGGGTGAGTGAAGAAGGGTGGGTGGGGAGGGAGGGTGGTGGGGGGTCTGGCCACATGACAGGAGTCGCTGGGGAGGGAGGGCAGGGAGGGCCAATCAGAGCAAGCTAAACCCAAAGGATGTAGCTTTAAAAAAGGTGGAGAAACACCATTGAGTTTATGTTCGACAATCTGGACGCTGACTGTGACGATGCAAAAAGTTCATTTCCACAATGATGGAGTCCCCTCCCCCTCCCCACCCTGTACTGTATCTCCCAGGCCTCCCCGATTATGGGTTTTACTCTGCGCCCAGTGACCAGAGGGGGGGGCCCTGCTCCTTTGCTGACTATGGCTCCCTGGGGCCCCAAGCGGCTCAGATGCTGCACAGTGAGCATGCCACCTCCGCCTGCAACTCCCCCCTCCAGCACCTACACAGCCCGGATCAATTTAAGAACCCAGGTTTGTATCTGAGCATTTATCTCATCCTACATTTTTTGTATTTTTCCGTTTGATTCATAACATTATTTCATGCAATAGATCAAATAACTTTATACATATACATATATATATATAGACAAACATCTTTTTTCTTTAGAAAAGAAAAAAATTCCCTTGAAAAAATGCTTAGATAAAAAAAATCTTGCTGATAAAATAGCATTGCATGTTGTTCTTCCTATTTTTAAAACTGAAATATTGTTTCTTTTTTTGGAGTTATTTTTCTACCCCCTGCTTGCACATAAGGAGCCAACACATACAGAATGTAATCCTTCATTTGCATGTGAACACAATAATTACTGATGATGTCAGAGAGTACGACAGCCTCTCTAACTCGGCTCAGGTTTATATGAAACTTTGAACAGCAAAGAAGAGCGTAAGAGTGACAGTGATTGTTCAGGTTATTAATCTTTGAAATGCTCGGAAAATAATAGACCGAATTTTTACTCAACACTGCCTTAACTGTACCATTCACTTTATCTTTTGTGCTTTCTGTAATTTCTTCTTTTTAATGTAATCGTGGTTTTGATAAGCTGTTGTTTGACTAAGTAAATTATTTAAGATTAAATGAAACTCAAAGCATGCCAGCTGTCTCCTAGGCCCTCTTCACACTGGATGTTGACCCTGCTCTGCTCTCTACAACCAACACGAGCAGAACACAGCTGGATCACAGCAAATTTGAAAAACTTTTCTTCAGTGAGGACTGCTGCACTTTATATGTTTTACAATTTTTTTTACTCTTCTGGGATGCTTTCCTAATCCCTCCCCATTCTTTACACACCGACCCTTATAACTTTTGTGGATCATGTCGAGGTTCAGCCACACGCTAAAAGATCTTACTACGTTAGCGTGATTCTACCACCACAGGCATCACATATGATTGTTTCACTGACTTGTAGCCTTGACATGATGTCAGATTTCTCCACAACCAAGCCACATCAGTGTACGATATACCCAAACCCTAACTCCAGTAAGCTGCCACCAAATGATAAATCGCCACAACCTCGCTGCAGTAGTTTTTTGCTTGTTCAAAATCATTCTGGACATTGGCATGTGTAATTCAGATCCCAGTGTTTTTTTTTTCCACACTTTAAGTCTTCACAAAAGCCCCTTCTCCACCATGGGCTTGGCTTTTATGGATTCAGCCATGACAAAATATGTCTCCATTTCCAGTTCCTGCACATTTTTTTTTTGATCCCAGGCGGGTCAAAAGGAGGATTGCGCACAAAGAGTTTTGACGTCAGCAGACTGCTGCTCGTGGACTGATTGAGCCATCAAGCGCATGCAGGTTGAGCTTGCCATCTGACATAAGCAGGTATACTGAGAGATTTAGGACAAACTGGCCACCCACGGTTACACGTGCACTTATAAACAGTGCCTCAACTAATTTCGAACCACCGGACGATAAGACCATAACAATTGAAGCCACCCGCTGATGACACGCCCACAGCCATGCCTTCAGAGTGGAAACACTGCCATGAAGACGCATCTACACCAGAGCAGAACCAAACAGACATGAAGCGGTTAGAGTCAGACTTGACATTGGAGAAGGTGCTTTAAGACCCTGCAAAGACCATTGGTGCTCTGTCCTTTTTGTTTTTTTTACATCATATCAGGGGCTTTATCTGGTGTGAAGAAGGTCTCGTAGTGTCACTGTGCCTCTTTTTCTTGGTATTGGTTGCAAATAATTAATTATGGGCCAGTTCTYACCCTCATGGTTCAATTGATGGCACCCAGCATTGTTGGCATTGTTTATATTTAGCGAAAATGTCTAGAAAAACACAGAAATGAGCCTTAAACTGAGATAATGACTTAAATGTTTTGAAGAGTTTGTTGCAAGCATTCAGCTTAAGCACTAATGAGGGAGCAGCACTGTTTACCACAGTCTTTTCTTCTGTTAGATCTGTTAAGTAGTGTTGTATTCAATGGATGACAGAGGAAAAAAACATTTTCCTCAGATCCCTGCAAATACAAAATAGCGTATTTGTCTCTCTAATTTATATGCTGCCATATGATGAGAGGGTCTTGTGTTGAAGTGTCCTCAGTTAGAAGTTGCTCTGTTGGACACAGATGATGCACACTTTGTTCCTGAAATACTCTTGAGGTATTGCTTGCTTGATAAAGCACAGGCTCGTCTCGCCTGAGAGGACACGTTCAAATCCTGAGTGAGTCAGCAGAGCTTGATTGCATTGTAACATGATTTACGTGCGTGTTGTTTGTGCAATGGACTTTATATCTGCAGCCAACCTTGACTCTAATTACATCAAAATCAGAGACAATGATACAATTTATTTGAGCGTTTCAAGTAGATAAAAGCAAATGAAAGTGATTTTCCAGAAGTATGATATCTTTTTGTGTACATTACGAGAGCTGATTTGGGCTTTAACAGATAAATATGCTGCACAGGTTGTTCTAGAGCTGTGTTGTCTTGTATTGCTTGTGCATAGGACTAGCAATGGCCCTTTGATTTATGCACACATCCATAGACAGGTCACCTGTGCAAGCTGTAGCAGGTACTGCCCATCGTTGTGCATCAGCTCTGCAAAAATTTAGCAATAAAAGGGTTGAATTATACTTAATTTTTTTCACACTCATTGTGTTTGAGACACTGTCATTTTTAGTTGTTTCATTAAAAATGATTAACCTTACGTTGAAGATTAGCCAAAAGTTAGTGCCCAAAACAATATTTGCATTGGTCACTTTTAGGCCTTTCGGCCGGGTGTCTGCATCAAAAGTACCAAAAACAAGTCGTAGTGAGGAAACGTCTGATTTATCCCAACCGACATTGTTATTGTAACATTTATCAACAAATATCACAATCATTTTTGAATTTGTGATATAGAATAAGAAACTCACATTTCACTTTGTGTTTTTTTCTTTCCTATTTCTGGAGAACAAAGTTAAAGCCAGAACCAGTGCAGCTCCTACTTTTACGCTTAAAAAATCTGTTTCACTTGGAGAACTGTGGGGGGGCAATAAAAATCACTAGTTACAGATAATAAGAATTGCCATTTCAACAGAAAAAATCCTTAATTATATAATAAGCCATCCCTCTGGGGGCTGCGCAGGCGAGATAAGAGCAGTAGCTGCTTGCTGTTTAAAGTTCCTCCAGTCAAACAGCTCTGTCACTCCTCGAGATGTGCATTTAGTCAGATGGCTTCATTTTCCTCGAGTGCTATAAATGGATATCTAAAGCATGTTTTTGAGGTGGCTTTAACTGGAGTTAACCTGTCTAATGTAGCGCTGATAGATGGAGGAGTGACATATTAAACAACTCCAGCTTACYGTGTTTTTATTTATTTATTTATTTTCTACTCAAACTCAGTCACACTGTGTTGTTTTTAATGTGTTACACAAAGACCTCCTCTCAGGCATCGCAGGGTTCACTAGCCCATATATACACAAGATGGAGCGTTTTCCGTGCTCGGAAGATTTTTCTTTTTAACGCAGCGTTGTTTTTTTTTCTTCTCTCAGTCTGCGTGTGAATAAGGGTGAGACGGAGGGTTATGTGAAGCTGACAGCAAAGGAGATTGCTGTTAAGAGATCACCACGTTTTTCTTCCTGCCTGCCTGTTTTTTTTTTTCTCCCCCCTTGTATTGCCAGTGTTATTGGCCTTTAGTGGSCATATGGATTTTCAAAAGGCATTTTATTAGTCTGAGTTGCTCTTACTCACAGGGCAAAGGTGGTAAGTCATGTACAGTATTTCTCTTTTATCTCCCACCAAGTTCAGGCCTACAAACAAACCCGGTTCAGGCTTTTATGTTGCCAGTTTATGCCTCCTTCTCTTGCCTGGCAAAGTGTGTTTGCTTTTTACTGGAAGTTGCTTTAGCAAACTGTAAAAACAGACAACATTCAGCTTGTGCTCGCTGGTATTTTTCTAATAAAGTTGTATTTTGACAGTACAAAATGTTTGGGTTCAAAATGCCCCAGAGAAATTCTAAATCTTTACTAACAAAATTGTAACTCTTCTCATTCAGGAGCAAATATTGTTGTAGAAGTACTCCCTCACATTATGCATGACAACTCTGCTACTAGTTTACTGGCATGGTGGAAGTACGTTAAACGATGTGCCTGTTTTGTTTTTGTGCATGAATACACAAAGTGAATGTTACTCTGTGCATAAGACACGCAGCATGTAGACCCTATTTGGAATATCATACTGGATTCACCCTTAGTTGAAAATTGCATTAACCCCGAAATCTTGCATCATTTGAACTAAACTACAATTAAAATTGGTTCTGTATTCCCAGCTGCAGTATTTGTACATTGTTTTATCAGCTGTGATCAAGTTAAATGTATGAATCCAGTCATGTGTTCTTTTGAATGAGACGTGACCGTTGGAGTTGTAGTGAGCAAGAGCGGTCCAGACCACCGATAAGTGTTCCCTAAGCTGCCTCGCTCTTTGCTGTGTTTGTGTTCAGGCACCAACCCTTCCAGGCCCGGAGGTTTCCCCGGCGCTAACAGTCCAGGGCCTGTGRCTGACCTGTATGGACCTAGCAACCAGGATTCAGCTGTAGGCAATTACATCAGCGCTGCTAGTCCTCAGCCCGGCTCCGGGTTCGGCCCCAGCATCACAGTGAGTCCTTCAGTTCAGACGCTGTGTCCTGTTTGACTGCATCGTCAGCCTCCTCCATGTCAGAGTACAGCTACTAAGATTTGGCTCAAAGAAAAGGCATGCCGTCTGTGATTTAGACATTATTCATAAAATAAATGACACTGCTACTGATATAAACAGCCACAAGCAGGTTCTCAGTAGATTTCCTAGTCCTCAAAKTTCAACATCTTCAATGAGACTTAGAAATGTTTCGAAAGAAGYTTAGATGAGCTATAACACTGATCTGCAAATACTAATGAGTACAAACATACAAAGACAACAAACTAAGGATGTCCTGATGCCAGTTTTTTCACAAGTACTTCAGTTTTAATAATTCTAATTAATTCTGAGTACTTACTGAGTTAGAACTTAAATATTACACAGTGACTTTAAAAACACATTTCTTCACATTTTATTAAGAACAAGGTGACCCTTCTTCCTTATAGGTCTACAACCCCTCTGGACTGGATCAAATCAAATATACAGCATGATATATTTTTCTGAAACATCTTAAAAATAAATACAAATAACAAATAAGATTTTCTTTCAACTTGTATAAATTTCTTAAACCTGGAACCGACAAACTTTCCACTTGAAATGTAAACTGTAACACATTCAATGGATTATCAAAACTGGTACTGGGATTGGTCCAGAGTATGGGGGCATTTTGTACTTGTACTTGTAAAAATGCTGGTGTCAGGACACCACTATTACAAACTGAAATTATTTTTTTGGAAAAAATTTAAAAAATGGATAATAAAAAAAAACAAAAGATTGGATCATTTAAATAACAGAAAAATACACAGTGAGACATTGTTGAACTGCTCGGGATGCACTGGTTGCAGTTTTCTGGCCGATCACTGATCTTTCAAATGTCGATTCCAATTTTTTTAAAATAGCTGACACTACAATGTCGCAATACACCTTTGATGTTCCACTCTTATTTTATTCAAAAACATTGAAAGATACAAACTTGTTTTAACTGGACATGAGGTAGTGCTCACAGCAGAGCAGAACGAAACAGTGGCTGATTTTCAGACCTTTGCTGCATAAATAAGATCAGCTTCTCATGTACAGATCAACCCATCCCCCAAAAATTAARGAAATTTATGCCAATTTATCAGCTCACCCCTAATTTAGACATTTTCTTGACAGAGAAAGCTTTGACTTAACACAATTCTACACATCACAGTTGCAGAACTCAGTATTTAAACGGCTCGGGTGCTAAACTGATCTGCTTATTGTGCATTTGACACAAAATAAAATATTCTAGACGTGAAGCTGCTGGGTGGCTGAAATGTTCCTGTCAGGCAAAAATAGGAAAAACATCTAAATTTCCAACAGTAGGAGTAATTGGCTACCGACGTCCCTAAACGCTCACACAGAGACCATTACCGGGTGCACAAAAGTACTAATAGGATCTTTCTGACACTTGGTTTGCACAAAGCAGATTTCCTGCAGCTGCATGGGCTTCTTCCAARCATCATCAGGAGGATAGTTTGAGTGCTGATAAATCTGTGATGTGCTCAGCTGTCCATATGCATGTCTGCAACCAACTCTAATCAGGTGCTGATAAAAAAAGGCTGATTCATCACTTTAATTTGGGTTTAGTTTTAAAATCATTTTTAAAATCTGTTTATTCATATTATACGTTGTCTCTGTTGTATTTAGCTCAAATAAACAGGGTTTAATTTAGTTGCATTTTAACCTGTGTTACTTTAAAAATTCTAAAGTTCCCCTCCTTACTTTGAAATGTAAATACTGTCCAAGCTCTTAAAATTATTTGTCCAAAGTGAATATTTATTCCTCTTAGCTTCCGCACCAATCTTCTTATTTCAGACTCAGTGGCAGCACCACAGAACAAATTTTGTTTAACTTCAGAAACTCATCTGTTCAGGAGCTTGGGATCACTCCATCATTAGAGCGGCACTTTCAGTCCCAGCGCCCTTTTTCCACATGAAGTCACCACCTTCTTTTTTCTTGCTGATCAATTAGCTGTCAAACTTGGGTCTCAGATTTATCTTCTTAAAACCTTTAGAAGCATCTGAACCGACAGCAACAAGTTTATTCAGTTTGTTAATGACCCAATAAAACTGGATGTAGTTGTTTAGCTTCTCCTAAGGAAGTTAGGAGGACCTTCCTGCCCCTTAACTCAGCACCATCATTAATCGTTTTGTTCATTCGGAGGCAGAAGTTAGTTATTTGGCTTCTAAAAGCAACTTTACCAGAAATACAGGCTAACATTCTTGTAGCAACCYAGACTTTACTTTTTAGTTTTTAGTGTTATTATGCAGCTATAGTTACTGGAGATATGTAGAAAGATTATAAAGAATAATATCTAATTCTGACCAGAATGATCAGCTAATGACAGTTCGAATGACAAAGACCATGACTGCCTTCTTGTACAACTTCAAAATTTTCCTGGTGGTTWATTTTATAAASCTTTACACCACATKTAAAGGATAAACACATAACATTTACACTCTGTTTGATTATTTCTACATTTAAACTCAGATAAAGGAGCATCCTCATTGTGTTGGAAAGAAAACAGCCATTTGCAAATCTCTTACTGCATCCTCTCCTCTTTCATCTCCACTATATCCACTCCTTTATATTGCAGATCGAGCGAGCTCATCTACAGCAGTAAGATCTCCTGCTGGGAAGTGAATTTGTGAACACAAACAGTAACAAACATCTTCAGCGTCCATGAGTGAAAACATTTCTGCTCAGAGCCTCGTTATACACGAAGCGCCGCTGCAGAAAGTTGACCAAAGACTGAGCCGACTGCTCCTTTACCTCGAAACTTCACTAAATAATTAGACGAGCATTTCATCTAGAGTTTAACAACTTCCTTTAGGAAAAGCATTAAGTTTTCAGAGTCATGTCTAGGAGCATGTTTGTGCTGCCTTACATGTCTAAACAAAGCGTAGAAGAAGAAAAAACATAAGAGTAACAAGTGCTTTCTGAAGGAAGGTAATTAACGTTTGGCTTAACAGAGATGGAAGCCCATTAGTACAGCAAGCAAGTCCTGCGAGACAAGGTACTCCTTCCAAACACATCATTAACTTAGATTTCCTGCCAAACTAACCTGATTTATTTATTAATTTATTGTGCAGAACATTATGTTTTAGAATCACAAGTTGCATAAGATTTGCGCGTAACAAAAACATGCAGACTTATCTTTACATAAGCTAAGCAATCGATTTGATATTCATGCAAAAAGCAGAGAAAAAAACCCACTTGTTTGTGTTTTTTGTGCTTCCTAAGCAAAGCCTCGGTCATTAATTGTTTTAGCTCCACTGCCAGTGTGGAGTAATCTGTTGGTCTCAGCGTAGAAAGCAAAATATTTGCCACCAAAGACCAGGCTGGCTTGTTTTCAAGGCAAATTTACCAGCAAATATTAGATAGATGGATGCAAGGCCATTTGTTTCTTTCATATTTTATGTGTTGCAACAGTTTATAAGCACAGAATTTGACAGAGTTAGATACACGAGGGGGAGAAAAAAAATCCCTCGAATGAATCAGATCTTCAGGCTTTCTGCCATATAAAATTTAAAGATGGCTCATTTATGTAACAGATCAGTCAGAAATATGCTAAATTATAGGCGTGTAGTTCAAGCCGGGGTTTGTGATTTCATTACAGAGTGTCAGCTTGTGTCTGTGATATTACCACATATTAAATCAACCACTTCAGAATAACAGAGTGAATGGAAAAGAGAGCAGCAAAGCAGAGAGGTGAAGCAGCCGCCGTCTGACTTCCTGCTCTCAGCCGGATGATCTCTCCATTCGCAACATTAAAATAGGAAATGATTCAGAACTAAAATGTTCTTTATAATTCATTTCTTTAACCGAGGATGCCGTCGAGTTGAAATGTGMGTGTAATCTTTATATCTCGTAGCCTCATGGATGAGTTCAGATCCACTGATTTGTCCCTCTTGTCTCACGCTCCGCTGATTGTATTAACCTCTTTAGCCAGTATGAAAACAGCCACTGTGAAGAAGCAGTAATGTTCCTTACTATTTTTTTTAATGCAAGACAATTAGAGTGCAATTAGTTGATTGAGGTGATAAAGACAATCGTCTCGTTCTTGTATGTTTGAATCTTTGGGTTTGTGCAGACCTGCAGCAGGAAATAAACATAAAAAACCTTCTGAACCTCGCTGGTCTCACTGAGGGGTGTTTATGATGCTGTCCTCTGCATGCTTTTAGATGAAATCTCTTGTTTTTGTTAGCATGATTGTGCAGTTTATTATCTATCATTATTTATTTAATTCGAGCTACACTTTTATAACCTGTTAAAGAAGTGGAGTGAAGTTTAAACACACAGATTAAACCCAGTTCGAGTCATTTTTTTTATTGAGCACACCTAAATCTCTTTAATGTCTGTGCCATTAAGATTGTTGGAATTGTTTTTATCTGTTTCTCGGTTAGTATAAGAGTGAACAAGCTTCTCTAACTGAGTTCAAACCTTCACATTCATGCTAGCTGTCCAAAATATAAAGAACAATAAAGTTGATATGATACTCACTTTTCTCTCTTTGAAATGCATACTGACAAACGCACTAACTGTACACTTTTAGGGTCCGTTGATTGCGACAGCTTTTACAAATGGATACCATTGAACAGGTGGCCGGTTGCCATCTCATCAGAGGTATTGCATTTTATTTTCCTGTGCATTTCTCTAATATGTGTTCATGGCATCTTTATTCACCCCTGTCAGACTGTCAGAGCTGGGAGAAGAAGTGTGTGTGACGAAGTGTGTGTTGACGTTTTGCTAAACTGGACAAAAAGCAGAAAAGGTTGGCATTCATGCCCAGGATGGTGATAATTATGGTCAGCTTGTGGGATTAGCTAATCAAAACATTCACACCAAAGCCACACACATGTACTACCAGCTCTTCAGTTTGTTTGGTTTTTCTTTCTATTTAATGTGCTCATCCTGGTGTTTCCTCATGATTTTATTTGGACAAATCACACGTCTCAACCCTAACTGTATGTCTTATGTCAGCAGAACAGGCCTGACATCTGTTCAAATCAAGTGAAAGAGTTGAATGTTGATATTATGTATTTGCTATTGGCTATTTTTGCAGACTTGATTTAAGCTCTTTTTTATTGTAAAAATGGTGCTTTCTAGTCGATCATTTTCATGCAGCATTTGTAGACATTTAAAATAAAGGCTAGAGTTTTATCTGAACCACATGGTACAGGTTTGACTGACTTCAATAGGAAATTGTTAAAGTTTAGATTTGTTAATTTTTTTTTCATATTGGTGGTTTGTGCATCTAACATTTAAAAAATAACTTGTTGAATGTAAATTTAAAAAAATATATTTAACTGTTTTCTACACAATTACATTAATTTCTCACTAGATTAATAAATTCCCTTGTTTTTGGTGCAATATGTTGGGTCAACATTGTCTCTTGGGTTTGACTCAATTGAACTGGTTTGGCTGAACTTGGTCAGAAAAAAAACAGATTAAAAATCCAAGTCCTGTTGTCTCATTTTGATCTGTGTTCATTTAACAAGATGAACACAAGTTACACGAACCGTATGATAACATTAACCATATAACCTCTCTAAATTATTTAATGTTCATTTTAAAAATAAAACCACTAATGAAGCAACGTCCTGCCCCCACCCCATGGTGGTCCCATTCTACTGTTTTTAGGTATTTCACCACCTTTTTCCTAAAGATGATGAATTTTGAGTCCACACTGATACAATGGAAACATARGTTTTTAACATCTCCACTTTGTAAAAAGATTTGAAATGGCACGTTTTGCATGTGGAAGAGGAGTGCAAATGTCCATAAAAAACATGAGGAGTAATGTAGATGGAGCCAAAATTGCTATAATGACTGGTTTATATTTAGGAGAAAAAAAAAAATAAAAATTTGTGGAACGTTTTTTTTTCCCCCGAGTTTTTTTATATATTATTCAACAAGCTGTTTTTTGAGTGTATGGAGCAAAACTAAAATGTTATTTTAATTAAATTTACAACAGCAGTGGGTTTTGCCCTGCAACCAAAATGATTTAAATACATTTTTTATTAGAATGTTTTACAAATGTGCCAATGAGTGCCACAGCTGACTGTGTTTTATGGTCAGGGTTGATATAAATGAGTTGTAAGTTTCTAACCCTGTTGTTATTTGTTCCTTTTCTTCTCTGTATTGCCCAGCAGAGTATATCTGGTGGCCCRGGACAGACAGGACGAAGTTTCTAATTGGCTTTGTGTGCAGGTGACCTTAATCCAACTTCAAGCACTACTGCGTCACCGATGGCTAAACGAGTGAAAGTGGGAACCATACGAAGAAGAAAAGAAAAGCGTTTGTCATCTCAGAAAAAGAAACAACTGCTGTACTATATTTCCAAACCTCCTTATAACTCTGCAGCCTGGTTTGGTTATGTTTTCACGTCAAGTTGCGTCACCGATTTCCTTCCTCTCAGCTTTTTTTGTTCTGATTAAGTTTTAGAAAGGCATTTTTAGTTCAGCCTTGATTTTTATTTTTGTTTTATTTTTCCTTTCATTTTTCTCTTCTAGCAGGGTGTAAATGGATTTTTGTTTGAAGTACACGGTGGGTCACAGCCAAGAAAGTCTGCAAGTCACGTCTTCATCTTCGAATTATAAAACAAACAAAAAAGAAGAAAAAGATCGGGATGTTTCCATTCAGTCTTTCTGCAAAAAAAAATACATTTTAAAAAAGTAGCTGGGAAGACTTGGAAGAAAAAAAAAGAAAATTAAGGAAATTTTTAATGAAGGTATCGAAGTAATAAATTTTAGTAGCTTTTTTTTCTGTGACGTCTCATTGTAAACCATAATTACCTATTTTTGGGCAATACAAAGAGGACTCCAATATTTTTATGGTCCTTTTTTATAAGTGTTGTTTCTGTTGTTTAGAAATATAAATATATATAAATATATATATAAATATATATATATGCTATAACAAATTTCATATAACGACATTGTGAATTGAAACTTGAGAAAAAGAAAATGTAGCTGTACATATTATTCCAGTCACTGCATATAACCAACTCAGTGAGAGAATAGCATATTTTTGTGATGGTGTGTCAAAAGCAACATGTTWTAGTGTGTGAATAGAAGAAACAAACAAAAACAAAAAAAAGCTGTAAACAATATTTGACTTTYATTGTTCTTTTTCTGCTGGAAGACGGTGTAAACACAAACAAACGGGACACACTTGCTCTGTAAATACTGAAGCGAAGTCATTTCATACCAGCAAACCGATGAGCGGGAAGTTGAATCAACACCGTTCTGAGAAACAATGATGATCATTTAAAAAAGGAGAAAGAGAGACTGATTCAGATCTTTTTGCCAAGCGTTAAGAAATTATTTGAAAGAAAGATATTTAAAAGAAAAACATTTAATCCAAAGCACACTAGGTAGAGGTGAAGATGGAGCTTGAAGCAGGCTTTTTGCAGCGCTCTGTGCATCCTGACACACTTTTATACTCCGGAGAGGAACATGTTCAGCTGCTTGTTTCGTTTCATCCCGCTCGTTCCCCACCACCCCCCGGACTCACTTTGGCGGAACGCGATAACCGTCGCTCGAGCCTTTCTATATACTCTTGCTTGTTCTTCGAATCGGTTCTTTTTAAGCAGAATTAGGAAACGTTTTTTGATACCATACCTCAGCCTTGGTGAGTTCTGTCGCGGAGTCGTCAGCAGGTTCTAATTTATTCCGGTGGCAAAAACAAACACTGAAAAAAAAAAAGAAAAATCAAAATAAAAATGGCGATTGAGGCGAGGAATCGTTGCACTGTGAGTTGTAAAAGTACAGGCCATCCTTCTATTTGCACATGTGTATGTTGGCTTTTTAAAAAGAGAAGAAGAAGAAAAAACGGCCCTGTGCTTTGGGGACAACATGAAGGATTTGGGAGTTTTTCTGGACAAACACTTCAATGATTTGAGGTGAGGGGATAGAAGTACCAGACGTGTTGCAGGTGGACTTCTTTGTACATTAGACCCTTTACCCTCGTCTGAGGAGATTCATACAGGGTCAGAAGACGACACTGAATTATTCACAATCTGCCGCCGCACCAGCTTTTACACATTTACCGAGTATGATAATAATAATAATAATCATTTTTAAATTCATCAGTGCCGCCGCAGGTGTGTTTCGTTTCTCTTCCTTTTAACGCACTTCTTGTCTCGTTTTCTTTTTATATTTCTGAAACAACCAGGTAATAAATATGCTGGATTTAAAAAATAAATAAATGGAGGTGTGATCAAGTAATAATTTAAATTATTTAAAAAAAACTTAAAAAAAAAGAAACTCTTGTAATGTTCAAATGTAAAAAAAAGGGAAAAAATAACTAGAAAAAAGAACGACAACTGCTTCTTTGCTGAGTTCAAGTTTAATCAGAGTTTTATTGATACTTTGTGGTTTATATATTAATAATTGTATTATACTACTAAAAATGTACTGTGCATCCATTACGTTTTTCTCTCCCCGCCCCTCAGAAAAGACGCTCTCTTTCGTTGCTCATTCATGTATTTCATTAGTGTGTAAAGAAATCCCAGTTAACTTGTAAACAGAGTGCTGTCTTTGATACCAGTGTAGTGCTTTGTTGTTCCCCCTTCGCTCTACCTCTCCTTTCTCTCATATTAACCCCGCCCCCTCCCTCCCTCCACCCTCCCTCCCCCTCCGCGCTCTTTTTCTATCTCCTGTAATTACAAAGTAGATGTTATATAGGACTCATTTATATAATACTTGTAGTGAATAGTGGATTTAGGACCAGTCAAGATAGAGCTTTCTCTCAATGATCATGTTCTGATATTTGCAGATGATTTTCTTTTCCTTTTTTTCTTTCTTTGTTTTGAGGTTTGTTGTAATTTATTCCCTATATGTTTGATTAGTTATTTTTGTTGTTGTTSTTGTTTTTCTTGGTTTGGTTTTTGCCACTCTAACATGGTTTCAGCTAACCAAAGCTCTCATGGATGAACAATGGAGAAACTGTTGCTGTAAGATGGAATTGTACACAAGGCATTATTTGGATCCCCACCCTTGAATGTTTTTAAAGGGGGTGTGCCATACTACCTTAAATGCTAACAGCAGATACGCAGAACTCGGGATTGTTTGTCAAGGAAGGACTCGAGCTAAAATCATTTAAAGAAACCCACAGAGATGTTTAAACGCTAATATCTGTTCATATTTGTGCTTTCAAACAACAAAAAAGATTTTTGTTGCAAAACTATTTTTGAATTGCACTTTTTCAATTTCCAGATGCTTAGAAAACACTTTTTTTCCCAGAAACATTTTTTGATTAAATTGTTATCAGTGTTGCATAAAATGAAACAACAAAAACTGCAGGAAACAGAAAAGCATAAAATATATTTTAACAGTTTCTTAGTCAGCAGATTTGATGATTAAATTTATGTCYCGTAGAAATTTACTGCCACGCTTGACAAGATATTAAAACCAGAATTACAACTCTTTGAATTATAGTCGTAAATTTTAAACATTAGACTAAAGAAGCTGAAACGAACCAATCAGAAAGCCTGTTTCAGTTTAGCTTTTTACTGATTTCTCTTAAACGTAATCAGTATTTATTCTATTTACTTCTTCTTTTTTAACTTTACCGGTTTTGAAACATTGCTGGTCTAATTTTTAAATAAATCAATATTAATGCATTCGTTATTCCACATTAGTTCTGGTCATTAAATTACATACAGCATTTAGACTGTATGACTCTATTTATGATGATTAAAAGTCAAATTAAAGAAAACAAGCATCCAGGACATTGTTTTAAATATTAGGATGCAACAATATTAACCTAAATGTCCACATGTTTTAGAAAAAGTTGAGATATATTAAATAGGGGTTTGTTATGGAGGACTACTTCAGCAGCTGTAGATAGAAAATAGTTTAATTCTGACAGGATTGATGAGCTAATGGCTAATCTCTGCAGGGTTCAAGTAAAACAACTCAAATCCAAAAAATATATATTAGAACATAATTTTACAAAACTTAACACTGTTGTCAGTTTTGCATTATATCCCAAACCTTCTACTTCTACACCCACAAATAACCATAAAAGTCTCTGTAAAGAACTGTGTAATACAAAATGTGAAACAATGTAAAGTCTTAAAAAGGCTACAAATTTATAWATATTCAGTATTTTAACCCCTTTGTTCCTTGACACGTTTATGTTTGAGAACATTTTATAAGAACATCAATAAAACATTCATTAGTACAGTCATATTTTAACATAATAAAAAAACTCAAAAATAGTTTCCTGATGACTTTAAGTAACTCATTATTGTTATTATTATTATTATTTTAAAAAACAAAGCTTGAAATGATTCATTTGCCCTGKCACAGCTCATCATGGCCCGCCAGTTGTTTTGCGATCGTGCAGTTAGACTTTAAGGTAGCATGGCTCTGTTACTGTAAATTCATTTAATCTCAAACTGACAGCAGTTCACAGCTGATGAATGTTACACATCTTAGTAGATTAGATTCTCCATTCGGGGAGATGAGAGGGGTCTCAGTTTAAGAAAAAAAAAGAGAAAAAATCAAAAAAGAGAAAAAAAACGGTCAACCTGGAACGTGTTGACATTTGTAGTGTACTACCGTATCCATTTAAACTTGAATCTTGAGGCAAGTGCTAGGCAATGGCCAAACTATTTATATCCCATAAGTCTGGAGGGGTAATCTGACCCTGAAACTGCACCGGCTTCTGATATTTCTGTCTTTTTTTTTCTTTTAATTATAAACTACTACTGTCTACCAAAAGCTATAGCAGATTAAACACCAACCTTTTCAGGCGTTGACTCTATTTCCAATCACTTAGACTGACTTTGAAWGTTCTCCTGGATTTTATATCCAAGAAGAGGTTTATTCAAAGTGGTGCTAACGGTTTTAAAACCATACAATTTGCCCCCCCCACCACCGCAAAGTTAGTCTTTGAGGCCACAAAGTGACMCTAATGTTCTATTTATAGTTCAGGTTCTCTTCTTACAGGATATAAAATAACAGTTCAGGTCATGTTCAGTGTGGAGGTGACAGAAATATCASAAGTTACTGCGTGGAGTTTGGGTGATTTTTCCTTTCAGTCCAAACCATCCCACACATGCTCATGATTAAATATATACACATACAGTTGCAAAGTATATATAAGTGTGTGTGTGTGTGTCTATGGATATATATTCACAGTTTTCACTCATTTGACCTTGTCTGAATATTAGACTGGAGACCTCAGCTGTATACTAAATACTCCTCACACAGAGACACCCAGGTTCATTTAGTTCAAACCCTGTCGATAGCTTCACCGTGTCCCCCCCGCCCAGCCCCGTTGTCGTCCCCCAGCCCCGGCGTGTTGTCTCGTTTGGAGCGGACCTCACGGGCCAACACCGGAGCCTGGAAGCTCCTCGCTCAGACTGCACGGCTCTGCAGTGTGAGGCTCTGCTGTGCCTCCATGTTCCCGCAGGCTGAGCCCAGAGCGCTCCTCCACCGCCGCCTCTGCCCGTTCCTAACACTTGCCCCTGTTTTTTTATGTTAACCRACTTTTTATGGCGAGAGACAGACAGACTTGACTGACACCTGAAAGCATCTTTCAGGGTTTATCATATGGCTTTGCTCAAGCCCTATTGTAAAATATACTGAAAAATAATAATGGCGGTGAGAATGGATGGGGGTCTCTCACATATCAAAATGTGGAAAGTCTAATTTTATATTTGTATTTTCAAATAATAATATTGACAAAAAAATTGTCTGTGAAAGGTTTCCATCCTCTACTGTGGTCCAGAAATTAATGTGTCTGTCTGGAAAATAACTAAAATAAACTGAATTGTTATATGACTCGTTTCCACTCGTGTGTTTTTCTCTGCTAGCTCAGCGTAACGATGCTAAATGTTCTCRAGTCGACCACATGCACCCTGGATGTTAGCGTCCAGGATCACTGGAGGTCATCAGGATTAATAGAGTCTGAGCACAAAGATAAATTTGGGAGGTGAACAGGGACAGGAGAAGCTGTGGCGTGTAATTCTGCTGCCCCTCAGTGGTCTCCCAGGGCCTGAATGATGCAGTGATTTCTGGGAAAGAAACTTTATTTTTCATTTGATGAATCACAGGAAAAGCATCTGTTTACACTGTTAAGAAGATGTGGAATCAAAAGTAAATTACAAAAAAAAGTGACAAAAATTCTYCTTTTTTTAAAAATAGTTGGAATGTAGGTGTGGCACGTTTATTTGAACACTGCAAGTCTTWCAATCCAGTCAAAAAGYCTTTTTAATCTTGTTTTGAGATTAATAAAGAGCAGAAT